TTAATTCATTGAAAAGAAAATTAACATGTTCATGTAAAGAGATTCATCTGTGGAATTAACACAGCAGTTTTTAACGCATTAGTGCCGGAACAACAAAGTTATTACTCATGAGATATTAAAAATTCAAGTTGGGGGGTCACAAACACAAGCTGATGTTATCTTGGGGGTCGTGGCTCAAAAGTTTGGGAACCGCTGCTTTAGAGGAAGTGTGGTAGTTCAGTTCCAGGTCACACATGGATTCAGATGCTGGAGTATCACAGAAGAACATGCTGCTCCACATCTGAAAACCATCTGAAAAACTTCCATCAACCTGCTCACATTTCACTGACATCAGAAACTAAACTTCTAACGGTCAATGTCCTGCTGCCAAAACAGGAAGCTTCATGTTGCCACAGCAACTGTGGTGTTGCTTCTACAAATTGCTGCTTTGCTTTGTGTTGGAGGAACAACTCAACCAATTGCAGGCATTGATGTGCGGGACTAGGAGTGGCAGTAATACAATGTGGCACATTTAAACAAAAAATAACACCAACAACTGTGATGAAGAACACCTTCAAATGAAGTGTTCCATGTCCTATTATTTAAAAGTGCATGCAACCACTATAGACAGATTGACCCTGTCCAGGACTTTCCATAAGGGTGTTTCTGGGCCCACTGGACCCCAAGAAAGAATGTGTGCTGGTATTCATTATAGCCTTTATGTTCTGATAAGCTGACGTATTTTTGGGTCCAAATACATGACACATGTCCGTCTAAACCACATGGCCTGAGGTCCAAAAGAGCCCAACAGTCCTGAACAGGGTTGAATATGTTCATCTCTAAGAGAGTTGTGTTTTCCATGTTAGTGACATGCTCAGGCTATGCCCTCAACTCTCACAACACCTCATTTTACATTATCGCTCATTTAATCAGGAAGGTGTCTTTGTCTTGCCAACAAGTGCTCAGTTTTCTGAAGTTGTGCTACTTTATGAAGGCCACAGCGCTGTTACATGAGCATCCTTGACACAACTTATGTTATAAGCAAACACAAAGTAGAAGCCTTTGGATTGTAGATTATTGGACACATTATTACCGCTGCTTCTTTATTTAATGCATAGTTTTTATGCTGTAGCAGGTCAAAGGGTTTGCACAAAGTGTAGAGGAGTAAAAATGTTTCTCTCTTGAATGAAGTGATGCAGATGTAAGAAAGCATGTTTAAATGGTGAGACAACTGTTGCTTAGCAACCCACCCCTCCCTGTCTTAATGCTATTAGTTCGCTGCTTCACTGTTTATCCACAGAAACCTTGGAAAGCTTAAACATAGTGGCAGCAAACCTCACAATTATCAGAACATTTCCACCATCCATCCATCACCTATACACCGCTTAATCCTCACTAGGGTCGCGGGGGGGTGGAGCCTATCCCAGCTGACTCAGGGCGAAGGCACATTTCCACCAGCAAAGTACAAAACCTCCATATGAGTTCATGGACTCATCTGAACGCTACGACTGACAAACCGGAGTCTGACGGTGGATGAACAAACTTGAACCTGCATCTCTTTATCATCCTTCAAGGATTTTCACAACAAGATGGTCACCTGACATCAGCGCCTCAGTGACACAGAAAACTGTCCAAATATTTTTCTAATCCTACAACTGATTTATTTAGTTACCTGATGATATCAGTTTAATATTTGAAGCAAAGTATTCATGTCCAAACAGGGTGTCTCTTTTGAATGAAGCCTTTCTATGACTAATTAGAGAAAATTCTGCTTTGGCAGTCAGTGGAAAGCAGCTGATTGGGTAATGCAATGCACCATATCTGCCTTGTGAAAAGCTCGGTGTGTGTTGACAGGGAGCTCAAAATGCTTCTGTTTCAAAGTTACACAGGAGGACAGAGGACATAAGCTGGCAGCTGAGAACACAGCAGAAGGCTGGCTCAGAAAGGGCCGCTGATTTGTATCATCTCTGCCTCAAAGGCCTGTTTTGTGCCTGATGATTGGGTCTGGACATGGCCAGTACCTTCACCTCAACACTGACACGCAATCAGCAGTAACTTTACGTGTCGGGATTCATAAACAGACGGCTCGTCTCATCGTATCTATCCAACTGGTTACGAAGCGTTTTAGAAAACAGTGACACTCATACTCATCATAAATTATTCATGGTGTGTTTCAAAAAACACACACTTTGCAGAACCAGAAGTGACTCAAACACCACTGGAGTGTTTATGAACACCTGCCACGAGCTGCTACAGCTCAGACAGAACCAATGTTCAGCTGTTTGGCCTCATCCTCCCTCATATGACAGATGTGACGTAGAAAAACTCCAAGTCTTGTCTCAAGATCAGCAATGGGGCGTTTTTCACTAATCCATCCATCCATCCATCATCTCTACACCTTAATCCTCAATAGGGTCATGGGGGGCGGAGCCGATCCCAGCTGGCTCAGGGTGAAGCCCAAATTGCCCCAGCAGAGGCTCCATGTGCCGCCCCGTTAGGAGGACGATTACAACCATCACTGCAGAAAACTATTAACAAGATGGGCTAAGTTCAAATATTCTTTTGTCCAGTTTAAATCTCTGTGAATAGACGTGGATACAAATCTGTCTCCCTCAGTACCAAAGCATGATCTCACTATACAAAGGTTTGATCTAACGGTTTTGTTAGGAAGTGCTCCTAATGTGCACTGAGTGGCCCCAGAATGCGACAGAGGAAACAGGGAGTGATTACAAAAAGGTTTATTTATGGGACACCAAGGAAGCGGGGGAAGAGGAGTGCCAGTGCTCGTGGGTCTTCAGTGGAGGAGGTGAGGGGGGATCCAGGGACTCCAGGGATGTGGTCCAGTGCGAGGGAATCCGTGCTCCAGGGGAAAGGTGCTGGACGCGTGGGGAGACCCGTGGGTGCGACCCGGAGTGCAGCTGCTGGTGGCTGATTTGTGGTGGCAGGGCTGGAGAGGACGTCAGGCTGAGGAGGCTCTAGGGTCGGCGAAGGAAACGAGAGGTCCAGGTTAAACTACCAGGAACAACTCAAGAACTAGAGAACTGGTCTTGGCCGATCTACTGCTCGAAGCAGAGTGAATCATCTGGCGCTGCATTGCAGGGAGAAACCGGCTTAAGAGCAGCGCTGATTGCAACAGGAGACAGGTGTGGAGAATTAGCGAGTCCTCCTCGGCCCCGCCCAGCCTGGAAACACATGCACAGCACATCACAGCAGAACAAACAAGCAAAAACCACCAAACTCTACCAGAACCCCAACAGTTTTCTGGAAGGTTTTCTATCTGGGTGCAATTTTCTAAAAATATCCAGCAATTTTTATTTTCATTTTTTCTGAACAGTTGTCAACTATAAAACTCAGTGATAAAATAACACATTTTTTATCATCGTTCTTCCTTCTTATGTGCATTTGCTTTATGTGTTTTCTCAGCTGATCCAGAGGAACAGTGACGTTTCTCACTGGACTCTGTCACTGTGAAGAGATGAGAAGCTCTGAGTCCGGTACCACATAAACGTGGTGCCTTAATCCAAGTCAGTTTCTACTTTTTACATGAATGTTCCATGTATCCTAATATGACAAACAACACTTTCTGTGTTCGGACAGAAACTGAGAGAGACAGTACATGAATGAAGCAAACTGGGCTTCCCTGCTCAGGATGTGGGTTCTGCTCATTCGTTTTCTTTGCTTGTAAGACATTGATTGAATAAGAACGAGGACATTTATAGAGAATTATCTGCTTTTATAGTGCAGAACGGAGTCATCCACACAGTGCAGACCTTGCTATCACTTTGAAGGGAAGATCACTCGAAGCACTTTCATGATTATCTCACTCATGGACTCACGTCTGTGCTTCATGGTGCATAAATGAGAGGCCACTTTCAGCTCCACTACACAGCATCCCTCTGGAAGTGATAACAACACGGCTTCATGACTGCCGTGCAGATGCTGCCACATGGTGAGCCTGGAGAGCAAGAGGTTGTGTTTTGTTGTATATGTTTAGGTCTAATCGAGGAAAAATGGGGACGGACACATGTGCTGTCGACAAAGCAAAGATACTCAATTCAATTCAGTTTTATTTGTATAGCGCATATTTACAACAACAAGTCATCTCATAGCGCTTCACAAAGGCAGAAACACCCAACAATCCAAACATCTGGATTCTCTATAAGCTTCAGCAGTCTGCTGGTGGGACGGAACCGAAAACCCCCACAGGGGAAAAAACACCTCGGACAGAACCAGGCTCAGGGAGGGACGGTCATCTGCCTCCACCGGTTGGGTGGATGTAGGATGAATTATACAATTTAGTTTACAGTTAAACAAGTTATTAGAAGTTAACTCAAGCTAAATGTTCTTAAGATCTGTGTGCAAGAAATCTTGGTAAGGAACGAGTTCAACTTTATTTGTTGAGGAGCTACACGGAGATCAAGGGAGAACAGTTTGTCCTATTTTTTCAACACCAGAAGAAAGCCAGATGAGTCATGGCACACCAAGTGAACACTCACAAACAGCAAGTTAAAAGGATGAAAAACGTGTTTAGTCACACTTGTTGAGAGTCTATAGGAACATCAGAGGCTTGTGCTTTGCCAAATGCATACATGTCCTGTTCTTGGAGGTCAGAACCAACTTTAGTTTGATAATAGAGGTAATCAAAGAGCCCACTGTAGCTTGGAGAAAGTCCTGTTTGTGGCGCACTCGGAGGCATAGGAAGGGACTTTACATGACTGAGGTACTGCCTGAATATCATTCATGTGCTGGAAACAGTACAGGGCTACCAGCAGCAGCAACAGGTGGGATTTTACCAAGAACATGTGATGTGAAGCAGCTGTAACCACAGAGAATGCATCCTAGCTCACGTTTTGGAGTAACTTATCCAAATTTACATTAAAGGTCATTAGACAACAATATCTGACTATGTAAAAAACTGAAAGTCCTTTAAATATGAAGACCAAAATCATAGTTTAAGAGTAAATCAGCATGTCTTCATTTATTTCCCAGCCTTGAGGTTAGCATCACTTGGCTCCAGGCGGATGCCCGGGCAGGCGATGGTTTACCTCGGGGAGGCTGTTGTGGACGGAGCATACGCAGGCGGTGCTCCCATCTCTGACGCCTGGAAGAAACCTTTTGTCAGCAAGAGTCAACAGGACATTGAGCGAAAGCTTCCCGTCCTCCCTAAAGTGCACCTGGGAATCTCAGGATCCCTCTGAAGAGGCTGCTGTAGAGAAGGTGAGCAAAATAATTAAGGAGCAGTAACATATATACATACGTTTTATTCAAGCATATTTCAAGGTTTCCATGGATGTCTAATATACAGCAGGGAATTGCATGAAGTATGTGCATTTATTATATTATTATTTTTTCTATTTTCACTCTATAACTAAATAAATATCAAGCTTTGGATATATATATATATTTATATATATCTCTGTAAGATGTCAAATATTTACTCTTTCAGTGTAATTGTAAAAAGGAGGAGCTGCAGGTGCCATGAAGATTTTTCTTTCTGTTTCTCTCCACTTAAAATTATACTTCTAACAGCAACCACAACTTATCATTATTGGACATATTTTCTAGCTCAACAACTTGACCTGTTTGTGATATCTGCAACACCATCCATAAAAAATGTGTATTTCTGTCTCGTGTTCCTCAGTGTCTTTTGAAATAATCTTGACTTTATCTCTATAGGAATAAAAACATAAAAAATATAATCCTTCCATTGGGTTAAAAGCCAAAATGATGGTGAAGCATTTCCTGAGCGTATGATCCAAACACTGGATGCACTTCACAGTTGCCTTCTATCTGTTTTTGAAGCTTCTGAATGTAATCCTAAGGAGCTCACTTTTAAATGTTTTTAAGATAAGATAAGATATGCCTTTATTTATCTCACAGTGGAGAAATTCACGTTGTTGTTAGCAGCATTTTCTGAAAATGTAAATGCAGATTAAAGACCAGAACTGTCGCATTCACCTCCTGCAGGTTGTTCTCCATCCACAGTTTCAGAACCGCTCTGACTGGGACGACGATGTAGCTCTGCTCCAGCTGAAGGCATCTGTGGTTATGAGTGATAAGATTACCCCCATCCCTTTGCCCGAGAGAGGCCATGACCTGACTAACCCAGGGGCGGGTGCATGACAAATCCTGCACCAGTCACAAGTACGGAGTCTATATGAAGATTTCCTCATATGTGCCCTGGATCCACAGCGTGGTCAGAGGAGGGAGAGGAAGCCACGTCCACGATGTACTCATGGCAGCAGCGTGGGAAAGAAAACCTGTGAACAGATCAAAGAGAAGCACAATTAACGCTGCCATGATGATAACAGCATGAATAAATCTAGTTTTCAATGAATCTGCATTTGAATTCATCTTTGTTCAAGACACTGTTTTCTCTCAACAACATGCATTTACATGATTCTGGCCGATCTTATTAGTTCCACAGACGAACAATGATCTTGCTTTATTCGCTGTTTCAGTATAACATGGGGCTGCAGGTGTCTCAGTGGTTAGCACCGTGGCCTCACAGCTAGAAGGTCGCCGGTTGGCGTCCCGGTGAGGACACCCGGGATCTTCCTGCGTGGAGTCTCCATGTTCTCCCCGTGCAGCGTGGGTTCTCTCCGGGTTCTCCGGCTTCCTCCCACAGTCCAGAAACATGCTGAGGTTAATTGGTGATTGTAAATTGTCCGTAGGTGTGAATGTGAGTGTGCTTGGTTGTCTGTCTCTAAGTGTAGCCCTGTGATAGACTGGTTACCTGTCCAGGTGAACCTGCCTTCACCCTCAGTCAGCTGGGATAGACTCCGCCCCCCACGACCCTGGTGAGGATTAAGGTGTAGAGATGATGGATGGACTATATCTGTGGAGAGAGAGAAGCTGCGACGACACCATGACTGAGCCAGAATCACAGGAGCCTCCTGAACGCTACGAGGATCGATCGGCCTGCAGCAGTGACGGAGCCCACACACGTTTTTACCAACATTTTTTAAGCACAATGTAAGAAATACTCGATTGCTAACTAGAAAATGTGGATATTACCAAAAAATTTCAAATAAATAGACATTTGAATCTCTTAAAGTTCAGTAGATCACACCCCAGAGAAATGCTACATTTAAGTCGATTTACTTGCAAATTGATGAAGATACATAATTTTTGAAGCAGAAACAATCGTTCTGATGTGTCAGTCGGTGAATCCCGTTCCTGATGATTTACTGAAGTGTTGACTGCATCAGTTCTAACACTGAAGTCTAACACGTGTCCCTCCTCCTCACATGGATCTAGTTTTTGTGACGACTCTTTATTCCGACTTCTGGGTGACACGTCGAACACAATGTTGGACTCTGACGTTGCCAAATTCCAGACCAGTGTTGTGGCTTTCACAGACCTCAACCACATATCTGCCAATAGAGGCATCAGATCAGCAAATGGGAGGACAGGGCTATAGCCTATAGGGTCAATCAGCTGCTGTGTCCTCATGCGACGTTTCACTGTTTTGTATTTAACTTCAAAAAGAAAACTGGAGAACCTCAGAGGTTGAGCTTCATCGTGTGCAGTCATCAGTGTGAAAGCTGAAGTTAGCGAAGGATTAAATGCGAACGACACAACTCAGAATTTGTGGATTTTGTGGATTTCGAGCGTCGCCTGCAGCGAGACTTCAGAGATATTTTTGTGTGGCAGGTGTGTCCACAAACTGTCTCAAACAACAAATGTCCAGAAAAGTGTTTGGGTGACAGCCGCCTGTCCAGTCGATACGATACGATGGAGGAAGATCAGAGGGACGGAAAAATCAAAGCGCAAGGCAGAGGCGACTGTTTTTACTCCTCTGGGTGGTTTTTCAGTGCAACGTGAGGACAAACAGGTTCAGTTTGAAGGGAAGTGGGTGAGGAGGCTGAAATGCTTCGTGGCTGAATAGTGAGCTATTGAATCTGTGGCCACGAAGATCCAGCACACCAAGGAAACCAAAGCTGACTTAAAAATTCTAAACTGTTGCAGAAGTATTTCTCGACTTCCTGCAGGGGATCCGACTGCACTTCTTCCTTCACACATCAGTATGTTCGGGTTCAGTCTGCTGGGGTCCAAATATGCAACAGAGGGTTGAGTGGATAGAGGAGAGGGCTTTGTTCAAGGCTGCAGGGAAACAGGAGACACCAGGAGGCATGTGAAGGAAGCCGAGTGAGGGAGGGAATTCCAGCTGAGGTTCCAAGAGGGACCGGGAGGCAGAACCGCTGAAGCTGAAGCTCGGCTGCACAAGCCGGGCCGGGGAGGCGTCGATCCGACGGGGAGGTTCTGGCAGCAAACACAGACACAACAGAAGTAAGACAAAGCAAGATTCTCAAAGCACACGGTTTCTGAGCACACTGCTGGCCTGGTACCACTCGAGGGAGGATGATCCACTGGCGCTGGAGCACAGGTGGAGGCGGGCTTCATCCAGCGCTGATTACTGATGAGCCTCAGGTGTGGAGGAGCGAGTGACAGCTCTCCCATCCGGAAACCCCAGCCAGCCTGAAACAGACTTGCAGCCACCAGAAACACAAGCACACACACTGAACAGGTCTCACAGTGAAAGACTCGGATCACCACATTATATCTGTCATGAATAATATGTGCATCAGATTTCGGCAGCAAAAACCTCAAACTGGTGTTGCTGCGAGTTGCAGATGGAGCCTGTGCAATGTTCAGCAGCTATTTTAGTCCAGTCTTCCTCACAGAAGTGCTTCAGCTCATTGTTCAGCGTGTCGGATGTCAGCGCTGGCGGCTCTCCGGTCGTCTGTGCCGAGTGAAGACAGATTATGTTGGTGTGAAGTCATTCTGTAGTAGATTGACTTTGCTGTTTGGAGTCATTGTGCAGCAGCATCACCCATCTTCCACCGAGGTCCAGCGAGCACCCTGACGTGATCCTGTAAGAAACCTTCAAACTCGTCCAAAGCAAAGCAGCACGTCCTCTCACCACTGTGGTCGTGTTTTCATGTTGGCAAGCGGTGCCCTTTTGACACCGTTTCTAATGCTGCGCCATCTTTCCAAACAGTCCCGGTAGTGTTGTGGAGTTTAACCCCAGCATCATGTTGGACCACCGTCTTTAATGCTCCAGCAGCTGCGCACCATCATGCGTGTGTGATAAACTCAGAGGCTTTTTCCACCTCATTCCACATTGTGACGTATCTTCACTGGATGCTGTCCGTCTAGAAAGAGCAGCTTCTAGATCAGCTCCATTTACGGATCAGTGGTGTCACTGCTGTGTGGTTCTGTTGGAACTGTTTCACAGAAAGCAACAACTCTTGATCATAAATCTTGTGAAATCTTTTCTTAGACAGTTAAGTCAAGTTTTTCATAAAACGCATTTACAAGTTGAGCCAAAGTGCTTTCCAATAGAGCGATAAGATTAATGCTACAGATTCACCTGACTTACGTATTTATATGTTAAGACCCTATAATGATGTATTAATACAAATTTACCCGACTGATCTATTCAGTTTTAAAACAGCTGCGGACAGCTGAGAAAGTCTAATCCCAGATTGAGAGCGTGAGGCTGATGAACACCTCCTGCTTCAATCTTCACATTCAGGGAATTTTATCCCAACTTTGGACATTTTTAAGGCTGCAAGTAAAGGAATATCCTTCTATTTATTTTAAAATTCTCTCATGTCTATTTACCTCTAAAGCACGCCGTGATGGTGCACCAGCTTATTATCCAGGACAGAATGTCAACACAGAGAGGTTTTCAGACAAACCAGTCCTGCTTAGTGGAGGGCATCAAGAACGATTTGATGTTTTGACCTTTTTTTTAGCTGGAGTAAAAACTGAGCTGTTGAAGGGAGCAAGAAGTACTTGTTAGCAGATCTGCAGCAGGGTGCAGGAGGTTCTCCTCTATGGCTTCTGAAATATTGATGTCGCTGTCAAAGGCCATTACTGTGTCCCGGTCTGAGCTCTCTCTGGCTCATCACTCCTCAGAGCGCCCACTGAGGTCACAACACTCGACTCGAGTTCTCTCACTGCAGTTTAAACCAGAACTAAACGGAACTGTGTCCGCATGTTGTACGTGATACTTTTACACATGTAGGACTATATTTGTTCTAAAATATAGGCTTTTCTCTAAAACTCTAAAACTGCTTCAACTACATCAGGTGTTTCTGTCTCTCAGAAACCTGGTGTTTATCATCCAGGTCGCCGGTTGGCGTCCCGGTGAGGACACCCGGGATCTTCCTGCGTGGAGTCTCCATGTTCTCCCCGTGCAGCGTGGGTTCTCTCCGGGTTCTCCGGCTTCCTCCCACAGTCCAGAAACATGCTGAGGTTAATTAGTGATTGTAAATTGTCCGTAGGTGTGAATGTGAGTGTGCTTGGTTGTCTGTCTCTAAGTGTAGCCCTGTGATAGACTGGTTACCTGTCCAGGTGAACCTGCCTTTTCTTCTTCTCTGCTGTTTTCCAGTTCACGAATGACCCTTTGCACGATGTCACAGATGGTGAAGAAAAGTGCAAAAAATGGTGCACATGTATTAATCTGAAATGAAGCTCTGTCACACACATTAATGTTGAGCTGCATGGAGAGTGCATATGTAGAGTGTGTAGGCTCCATGAATCCTGACACAGACTGTGTGCAGAGGCCTCCCGTCCCTCAGAGGCATGACAACACATGAACAAGCCTGACTGGATAGATCCATGTTCATCCTGCCGACTTAAACGCTGCTTAAATTGTGCAAGAGGATTTGTGGGTTATGGGAATTTGCTGATAGTTATCAGTTTAAGTTTATAACTTGATATGAAAATCAAACGGTGATCTCAAACAAAGTCATTTTTATGGTGGCAGGACTCTAGAAGGCAATGTTCCATCTGAACAGTACCATGCACGTGTCCCCAGAGGATGAGCAGCGTAGCGTTGGTTCTTCTTTGACTTTGACTAACCAAAGCTTAATTTGGTAGAGTTATCATGGTTCCTAGCAAGTGTCAGCATAGTCATGATTTAAATCAACGGTGCACGCGGTACATATGCCACCTGCTAAGCAGCGTGTTAATATTGAGATTATGGGACCTTTTTGCTGTTTTTCTGGAACTTTATTTTGAAAGCAGACTATTGAGATGTGACCAAACTTGCATTAAAGGATCTTAGAACCCACCAGGACCTTGACCGCTGCCCGATGTCACCTTCCAGAGAGAATTCACTCAGGTTAACACTGTATTATTCAAGGCATGCCTCCTACCACAGGTGGTTCTGGCAGCAGGCTGCGCTGTGTCATCATGAGACCAGTCGCTCAGGCTGCCGGGCCTCCATATGTAATCAACCAGAAGTCAGGTTATATCGTGTTGGAAAGCAGAACACGCGACATCTAGTTATTTATCTGGCAG